CCTTCAAATTTCTACGTTCCACTATATCACATGACCTAAAACGGACACCTAACATCAAAAATATCATAAAAAAGCACAACAAAGAATGTTCTTTCTGCGCCAACTCAGAAAGCTCAAACTGCCCAAGGAGCTGCTGATCCAGTTCTACAGAGGAATTATGGAGTCTGTCATCTGCACCTCTATAACTGTCTGGTTTGGTTCTGCAACCCAACAAAACAGACACAGACTGCGGAGAGTAATTAGGACTGCAGAAAAAAAAAACAATTACTACCAACCTGCCTTCCACTGAGTACCTGTATATTGCACGAGTCAAAAAGAGGGCTGTGAAAATATTTACAGACCTGTCACATCCTGGACATAAACTGTTCCAACTCCTTCCCTCAAAACGAGGCTATAGAGCCCTGCACACCAGAACAACTAGACACAAGGACAGTTTTTTTTCCCAAATGCCATCACTCTGCTAAACAAATAATTCCCTCAACCCTGTTCAACTATTACGAAGTCTGCACTACTATTACTGTTAATCTTCTCATCACTCCTTATCACCTATTCCCTCCCACTTGTGACTGCATGACTGTAACTTTGTCGCTTGTATACTTACGATTTATATTGACTGTTTCCTAATATGATTGATTGCTTATTGTACGCTATGACTAACATTAAGTGTCATACCTTATGCTTCTCAACTCCTGACTAATGTATCTTTTCTTTTATGTATACTGAGAGTATTTACACCAAGACAAATTCCTTGTGTGTCCAATCCCTCTTGGCCAATAGAGTATTCTATTCTATTCAAATCACTGTCATTAAGTGAATCAAAGGGACACGATGGCTCAGTGGCTAAGACGCTGAGCTTGTTGATCAGAAAGATTGGCAGTTCAGTGATTCGAATCCCTAATGCCACATAACGGAGTGAGCTCCCATTACTTGTCCCAGCTTCTGCCAACCTAGTTATTCGAAAGCATGTAAAAAATGCAAGTAGAAAAATAGGGACCACTTGGGCGGGAAGGGAACAGCATTCTGTGCGCCTTCAGCGTTTCGTCATGCTGGCCACATGACCATGGAGACGTCTTCGGACAGTGCTGGCTCTTTAGCTTTGTAATGGAGATGAGCACCTCCCCCTAGAGATGGAAACAATTAGCATGTGTATGCGAAGGAAGCCTTTACCTTTACCTAATAGGGAAGGTGAGAATAGCAATAGCACTTAGACTTATATACCGCTTCACAGTGCTTTACGGCCCTCTCTTAGCAGTTTACAGATTCAGCCTATTGGGGAAAGACTTGGGTCAAGGGGGAAATGTATGATGGGATTTAGCACTGGCTGCATCCACCACACACCAACCTGGCAATTTCTAACAAACCAATTAATTTTTTTCTGAAATGCGGCTAGAGACTTTTGCTTTGAATGAGAGGGATTTGTTGGAATCCTGACCTCGAGCGCCCGTCCACAGAAGAACTCGTTCCTGCTTCGCGTCTTCTGCCTTGGCTGGAGGGAGGCAGTGGAGAAAACGACCAGGATCTCCCACAGGGACCGTGCACTTGGCAAAGAAGGCGTTGATGCCAGCCCAGACCACAGCCACGAACAGGGCCCTTTCTGCCTCCTGGTTAGCACAACAGCTTCTCCAGCCATCTGTTTTTCCTGATAAGAGTGACAAAACCCCCTTTTTGTCAATGAGCGCTGCCTTGAACGAACACCTGTTTTCATGACATTAAGACTTGCTGAAAAGCATCCCGCAAAGTGCATTCACTGCAGGCCACAGGGGGTAAGCTAAAAAGGAAAAGAAACAACCAGCACAGCATTTCTGAAGTCTCAAAACGGAACAGCTGAGCTGTCCCGCAGCCACTGCCTCTCCAAGCCAGAGTCCCGGGAAAGCACTGAATCTGCTGCTATTCCGACTGCATCGAGTCCGACATTAAGCCTGACATTCCAGGACAAGACTCGGCTCCGCGCCCGGGACATTCCAAAATAGGTTCTGCTAACATCTCCTCCAGAGAAGGAAGTCCCGAAGGCAGGAGTATCTAAGGTCAAGGGGCATTCAAGACTCTCTCTTTTTGAGGTGCCCACATGTCTCCTGAGAGACATGGCAGCGTGTCATGCACGGAGCTCTTTTGCAAAGCACTGAGGCCTACTCCGTGTCAGCTCTTAATGGGAGAGGGCAGGTTAAAAAAAAAAAGATTAGGGGAAAAGAAAAAGGAAATCCAGAAAAATATTGATAGTGGGGTCTTTGGTGCTCTCTTGAGGTTGGTTGTTTTCAGACGTTTCATCAACCAACTGGGTAACATCATCAGTGCTAGAAGGGGGTGGGGTTTGTGGAGAGGCGGAGGAGGAGGAGGAAAACTGTTGGGTCCTTAGTGCTCTTTGAGTTTGTTTTCTTGCAGACGTTTCATTAGCCAACTAGGTAATGTCATCAGAGGTAGAAGAGGATGGGGTTTGTGGAGAGGAGGAGGAAGCCTGTTGGGTTCTTAGTTTGTGGAGAGAAGGAAGTAGTAGTCTGTTGGGTCCTTAGAGCTGAGTATTCTTGCAGATGTTCCACTACCCATGTGGGTAACATCATCAGTGCTGTAAGAGGGTAGGGTTAGTGGAGAGGAAGAGAAGGAAGAAGCCTGTTGGGTCCTTCGTGTTCTCTGAGCTGGGTCGTTTTCTCGCGGACATTTCATTACCCCAATAAGTAACACCATCAGTGCCAGAAGGGAGAAGGGTTTGCTTTTTGTTTATATACAAGTGCCTTGCCCTGTCGGTGTTGGTGGACGTGATCTTGGTGGCTCCTTGATTAGGCTGGGGTTCATTTGGTTTTTGATACCCACCCCCAACAGGGAATATTGTTCAAAAGATGATTGTTGTGGGTCTCAGAAACTGGCCTAAGGCCTAATAAAATGTCCATGCTGCTGCAAGAAGAAATTCCCAGGATCTCTACAAAGCAATGCAGAAGTTAAAACCAACAGTGTTTATTTGACGCTACCCAGCTTTTCATCCCTGCAAAATAAAGACTGCAAATAAACTCCCTGGTGTGCTGGAGCAATTGGATTCTTACCAACGGGAGCCAGGTGAACAATCCAGAACTTTCTGGTGTTTTCACTGAGAAACCCCCTCCCCCTTATTTGCCCTGCAGGTCAGGGCTTGGTTGCTCCGCTTGGCTGCAAGAATTTTGCAGCTCTCCTGCCGTTCTCGGCTGCTTCCTAACAATGTGGCACATGGCTGTGAGGATGGGAGAGCCCGCAGTTTGTGCTGCCCTCTGATGTGCACAACAGATATAACAACTTCCCCTGAAAACCATCTGCTGGTTCAGCCCGGTTCACCTGAACCGGTAGCTCCGAGGATCATTTGTGAGCGAAACGGTTTGCTCTGATGATCAGCTGCTGGGCCCTCCCACCTGCCCAGGCTCTGTTCTGACCTTTATTTCCTGGTTTTCAAGCTCAGCTGCTTCGTGCAGCACAGCCAATTGCTGCATGTCAGCTGTTTAACACACAGGGTGTTGAGGTTTGCCAACAGTCGGTGCGGACGGCAGAGGTATCGGACAGCGAGGAAGAAAGGGGACCGGTCAGGAAGTCCGGAGAGGACTCGGAGGAGGGTCCTGCATCTGATGCAGGGATGGGGCCAGGACCATCTGAGAGTGAAGTGCTGCCTTCGGAGCCTTTGGAGTCTGGCAGCAGCAAGGCAGAGGACCCAGGGGAGCCTGTTCCCAGTGCGCGTATGCGCAGAGATGCTAGAAAGTGAGAGCAGCTGAAACAAAAGGGGCAACTCGGGAGTAAGGCTGGGAGGGGATTGCCCCTCCCATAAGGGACAAAAGTCAGTCCTCAATGACAAAGAGCTTTGCAGGAAGCAAAGCAGTTCAGTAATCTCCGAGTCCTTTGTGAAGCTCTGTACTCTGGTCGTTTTATTCTGGGTTTTTGGATTAGTTTATGTTAAGCCTTAACTGGACTTCTGTTCAAATAGCTATCAATTTGGCATTTTGTAGCAAAAGATTTCTTTCATTTGCAGAGAACCGATTCTAAACGATCCTTTAGAGGCCATCCATGATCTTTAAAAAATTTTTTACGGCCCTGTAATCCCTTAACTCGGGGTAGAATCACGGCAAATGGATGGAGCTGAGCGTTTACTGGCCGGATGCCTTTCCTGACGCCAATGCAAAGTTCATAGCTGATTTATTTATTTTTTAACGCCCTAGGAGAGAAATATCTGCCAGTAGGATTGAACTCTCAACCCGTCTGAGGGGAAGGCGAGTGTCTTCACCTCTAGGCCACCACTCTGCTCTCAAAATCACTCGAGCAAAAGCCTGACCCAGATCTTCAAGATGGCCACCGCTGGATTAGCTCCTGCTCCAATCAGATCGACGAAGCAAAGAAAAAGGGAGCGTTTATTCCTTTGGAAAACAAAATAACAAAGAAAATATCACACCGGGGGGGGGGGGGGGGGAGCATCACATGTTTCCATAAAGAAATCCACCCATCCTTGCCAGCAGGTTTCCAGCACTGAACATGTCTACCTACCATCTGGCTGAGCCTCAGGTGCTTTCTCAATCCGCTGCCTGCTTGAGAAGCGCTTTCCTGACCATTCTCAGTCCTGCCTTTCATTTCTCATTAAAGCAGTGGTCGCCAACCAGTGGGCCGGGGACCACTGGTGGTCTGCAAGAAAATTTTGGTCGTCCAGAGAAATGTCACCCCCCCCCCAAGCAATTAATCCAGGCTGCGCAGGGACACAAGGCTGCAATGCCCACGTGGCCAGTGGGAACACAAGGCTTGCTTCACTTGCATTGCGAACAACACAAGGTAGTGAGGGGAGGGGGGAAAGGGCAGAAGGGGGGAGGACTAGCCCCACTCAACTCGCCTGGCCACCGGGCTGCTTCTTTCTTCTTCTGCTTTTGGCTGCATGCAAGGAAAGCAGCCAAAGTCTTTCTTTCTCTCCCCCAAACTCCACCAGAAATGAGTCTTTGGGACCCTGCAAGGCCACCTGCTCCAAGAGGCTGCGCCGACACTACAAGTCTCACAAAGACTCATTTCTGGCAGAGTTTGGGGGAGAGACTTCTGCTGCTTTCCTTGCATGAAACCAAAAGTCTCTCTCTCTCTCCCCTGAGAATGGAGCTGGAGCCGGTATCCTGCGACCCCAAATAAAGAATCGATCGGTAGAAAAAACGGGGTGGGGAATTTTCCTGCAGATTTTTGGGGGGATTTTCCCAGGGTCTCTGGTCTGCGGGATTTAAAATTATGACTTTGGTGAGGTCCAAAAGGTTGGCGACCCCTGCATTAAAAGAACATCTGCCAGAAGAAAAAGACATATGCTCATTGGAATAAATCAGATCTGGGCCATTCATTTTATTCTCTTAATCTTGGTTCAGATTTAAATCAAAGCAAAAAGGGCTTGAACCAGAGCTTAGGGTGGCAAATGCCTTTGAATTGTGACTTACAGGCTTCATAAAGGAGCGCTATTTGTAATGCAGATTCCAAGAGTCATGCTTCCATGTTATTTAAAACCATGCTCTGCCAAGCATAAGGACAAATGAATGGCGCAAGGTTTCTAAATCCAGTCTGGTCACCCGCTCTCCTTAAGGTAAAATTAGCACTTTATGCTAATTTTAGATCGATTTCTCAGCATTCTACCAGGATGGACACATTTTAGACTTAAAGTTAATGATATAGTTGTCATCTGTTACTTTTTGTACACGCGTTTTTATTACTATTATTTCATCGCTCTGTTTGTAGTGGATGTTTGGGGGCTTTTTTTTTGTCCCACCCCCCCTCCACTATTTTGTATTTTAACTTTGGAGACAAAAAAAAAAATTATTGTAAAAAAAAAAAAATTAGCATTAGGGGAAACTGACGTTAAACAAGCTGTACGTTTTGTTTGCTGCTATTCCTCCGTTTCTTCCCCTGGAAAAGAATCAGCCGCAAATGAAAATATTACATTCTGAAATAAGGCCCAATCAGAACGGTTCAGAATTCCATCTTCCCTTCTCAATATTCAGCTCCCAGAATTCCCCAGCCAGCCAGAAGTCCACAAGTCTTAAAGCTGCCAAGATTGCACTCCTCTGCCCTAGACAGCAGTGTGGCATTTGCAGGAACCACGAGGGTGACAACCCCACACCTTCCGCTTCCCAGTCCTGCTGTGTGTGCAATCTATCACAATTCAAATTTAAAAGATCTTGAATCCTCACGTGTGTCGTGAGATTTTGGCCGAAGAACGTTAGATGCTTGAGTGAAGAGAGATGATATCTTGCAAAGGATGAATGATCTTGAGAGAGGGCAGACAACTGAAATAAAAGAATTTGAGGAATGCCTGCTCCGTGACTCCCAGAGACGGAAAAGGTTGGCGCAAAAAGAATTAATTCTCCCAATTAAAAGGTGCAAAATAAAAATGGTACGAGATTCCCTGGCGATCCCCAGGAGATAGGGATCAAAATTCAAATTTACCTGTTCCACCCGATTGCCTCCAAGAAAAAAATTAAGGGCAGAGAATTGGGGTGGAAACGGGGAGCTGCATAGTTGTAAGACGCCAGTGAGCGTAGTGTGGTCATCAGGAGCTGTGGCAAAGGGATTCTTTGGGAAGAAAATGTGCTTTTTTGCAAACAGCATCGACGGCAAAGCTGTCTGTGTGTTCATCACAGTTCGAAAGTTCCTGATCTTGCCGCTTGCGCTTGTTAAGCAAGGTGTGACTGGGGCTTTCGTTGCGTTTGCCTTCGGGGAGGCCCAGAGTTCTTAAACAGGCGATAGCTGCCGCTTGTTCTGCTAGTTTCTTGGATTTTTCCCTGGAAAAGAAGAAGACGGGAATATGGTTGCTAAGAGCTTGAATTTTGATCTTGTGGCCATGGGAACGCCGCAAGAGTTGTAACTCTGAGGACCGGATGTCACTTCCTTCAGTACTGTTGCAATTTCCTTCTTTTTTTAAATAATATATTTATTCAACGTTTGTAAAATTAAAAACACATACATTTTACAGCATTGTTTAAGCAATAGATACACTTGTACTTCCCTTTTGATAGCGTGTTGTACATTGTCATAATAACTCCTTCGTCCTATACATGCATACATAGTTTATTTACATTTATTTACACGTCACCCTTTTCAGAATATTACCAAATCATCCGATATCACCTTTTCTTTATCCAATCACACCAGATATCCCATGTTTTGTAATATTCACTTTCTTGATTATCTTTTAGCAATTTAGTTAATCTATCCATTTCGGCACATTTATGAATCTTATTGATTATCATGTTTTCTGAAGGGGTCATAGCCAATTTCCACTTTTGAGCAAAACTTATTCTAGCTGCTATTATAATATGCAAAATCAAATATTGGTATTTCTTTTTCATATTTGGTTCTAGCATGCTTAATAGAAAAATTTCCGGTTTTATTTTGTTATTTCCTATATCCAAATTCCATTTTTTTGCTAAAATTTTCATGAAGGGTTGCAATTTCAAACAGTCCCTAAACGAACAGTTGTAAATGAAGGACTATCGATGCTATGCAGCACTGCACACAGAACAACTAGACACAAGGACAGTTTTTTCCTGCACGCCATCACTCTCCTAAACAAATAATTCCCTCAACACTTTCAAACTATTTACAAAGTCTACACTACTATTACTATTAATCTTCTCATCACTCCTTACCACCCATCCCCTCCCACCTGAGAATGTATGACTGAAACTTTTTCGCTTATATCCTTACGATTTATATTGACTATTTCCTAGTATAATTTGATTCCTTATTGTAACCTCTGGCTATTATTAAGTGTTGCACCTGATGATTCTTGACTCTTTGACGAATGTATCTTTTATGTACACCGAGAGCATTTGCACCAAGACAAATTCCTTGTGTGTCCAGTCACACTTAGCCAATAAAGAATTCAATTCCATTCCATTCCACTCCACCCCATCCTAGTCTATTCTATTCTATTCTCTCGTCTCCTCTACATTCTATTCTATTCTATTCTATTCTATTCTATTCTATTCTATTCTATTCTATTCTATTCTATTCTATTCTATTCTATTTCTATTCTATCCTATCCTATCCTATCTTATCCTATCCTATCTAGACATAAAGCCCAAACTCTGCATTCGTCAGAGTATCTACTGCATATACAGGTAGTCCTCGACTTAATGACCACGACAGAACCCAAAATTTATGTTAAATTAAGTGAGACATTTAAGTGAGTTTTACCTCCTTTTACAACCTTTCTTGTCCCAGTTGTTAAGTGAATCGCCACAGTTAAGTCAGTCACACGCTTGTTAAGGCAACCTGGCTTCTCCATCGGCTCTGCTTGTCAGGAGGCTGCAAAAGGGGATCACTTGACCCCAGGGACACAGCGACGATCCATAAATAGGAAACCAGTTGCCAAGCGTCTGAATTTGGATGCCCAAAATTCCCCAGCCAGCATGGAATTCGGGGAATTGGAAGTCCCCCAAGTATTAAGGTTGCCATGGTTGGAGACCCCTGATTTAAGGGTACCATAGCCAGGGGTGGCCTTCAAACATTTGAGCGACAGGTTCTCTGCCCGGTTGCTGGGTGGGCGTGGCCATGGTGGGCATGGTCTATTCAGCCTCCTGCACCGTGGTGTGTGGCTTGTCTTTTCCCTCCAGGGCAAAAATGGCCTCCCCGGGCTCCGGAGGCTCTCTGGAAGCTGGAAATGGGCCCATTACCGGCCTTCCCCAACTTCCAGGAGGCCCGTTTTTCACCCTCTCCTACCCTCCGCACATGCCACACTTACCTGCATCCAAAACATGCGCCATGGGGACTCCTGGGAGGGGCGGGGAGGGGTGGGCGGGGCCAGCCAGGAGTGGGATGGGGAGGGGCTCTCCGAACTGCGCAGAATCTTAGCTAGGGGCCAACATTATGTAGCACTATCGTAATACACAAACATAATATATATCAGGGGTTGCCAACCTTTTGGACCTCAGGGACCACCAAACTTATAATTTTAAATCCCACGGATCCCTAATATGAATTTTGACTGACAGGTGGCTTGCTGACCTTGGTGGGGAAAGTCGGTCCCGTATTCCAGAGCTTCAGTAGTCACAGGACTGGCCCTTTGGTGCACTGGCCTGCCATGGACTGGAGGAGCTGCTCCGGGATGACCAAAAGGGCCAGTCTTGTGAATATGGCAGCTCTGGAATACGGGACCGACTTTCTCACCAACGTCAGCAAGCCACCCCAGGGCAGATTTCCCTCCCCAGCCGGTGGTCCTACCTTCCAGTTCCACCTCACGTGGCTCTACTCTAGGTAAGATTTGCACTCGGCCGAAGGGTGGGGGCCAGCGGGTGGGCGGGCCATGTGGGTGGCGCAGCCTTGTGTTCCTGCACAGCCTGGATTAATTTCTTTGGGGGGGAGTGCTTTCAGGGGGGACATTTCTCTGCGGACCCCCAAAATTTTCTCGCGGCCCACCAGTGGCCCCCGGCCTACCAGTTGGCGAACACTGATATATATACATAACATATATATATATATAATATACCAACGTTCCGTAGCATTATCGTAATCCTCTCTTTCCGAGTTGTCATGAAACAACACTTCACTCTCTCTAGCAAACGATCCGCAAGGGCTGCTTACCATAACGTCGAGCTGTATTTTTGCCCAGCCACCGTCACAACAGAACAGAACAGTCGATCCCGGGGTCTTTCGATCTAGAGCAAGGGGAGAAATGAAAGGTTGGATTTGAAGTCAACGCAAGCGATCCATTCAAGGGGCGTCGGAATGAAATGTTGGGGGAAAACTATCAAATCCCCAACAGGTGCGACATTTCAGTTCGAGGCTGGGAACAGGCAGCCGCAGTTTAAAGCTGGGACCCAGAAGCTTAAGGCAGCTGGCCCGCTGCATTCAAAGGGGCTTTCGGTTCTTTGGTTTTCCTGAACAGCTGCTCCTCCAGAAGACAGAAAAGCTGGAGAATTTCAAAGGCAGCTTGTGGTAGAAGAGGCTTGGGCCTAGTCTGCAAACAGACCGGGTCAAAATTCCCCCAGACACATAACAAATATTTGCACAGCCTCCCCACCAGCCCCCCACAATATTTGTTGCTATCGGAGCTAAAGATTTAAGAGAACAAGGTTCCCTATTCAAATCAAATATTTATTGTGCTCATAGACCAGCGTAAGAAGATTCCCTTTGGGGAGGTATGTGGTAGAGTTGGACTCTGAGGGAGAGGAGGAACAGCCGACAGGGAGCGGAGGTGTGGCTCCAGAGGTTATGGAGGAGGCTGGGGAAGGGCAGAGGCTGGCTGGGCAGTCAGAGGAAGAACCAGGTCCATCCACTCTGCATCCTAGGATATGCAGGGAGGAATGGAGAAGGAAACAACTTGGCTTACGAGAGAGGAAGTGGCCATGATCCCCCTCATTAGTTGCAGCTGGGGAGAATAGTATATAAGAGAGATGGTTAAAACACAGTGTTGCCAAAAGCAAAGTGTGTTTTATCTTGGGCTGAAGTTATCTTGGTTGGGGTCCTTCCAACAGACTGTGCCTTGTTATCTTCTTGAATTTGGTAATTACTTATCCTGATCTGTTGTGGAAATTCCTCCAATGTAGTTTGTTTTGGGTTTTTTATTTCACCTCTATCTGCTCATTAAGTTCAGACTGTATTGTTTACTTTTGAAGACTATTTGTGAATAAGTTTTATCTCCAGCTGAGAATTATTGAACAGTGGGGTCAAGTTGGAGGCATTAAAGGACATTTATTTACGGTTTACATTTTGTTACGTTTGTGTTACACTCCGGGTCATCACAGTATGGTTTAACAAATGAATTTCATCCTATGACATCTTACTGTTTCATAAACAGGTTGAAGCAGCTTCTCTTTCCTGCACCATTCCAGAAGATACATTTTGGGGGTAATTTGTGGGGGATACTCTCGTCTGAAGAGGAAAAAAAGAAAAGGAAACAATAAATTCTCACTGTAGGCCAGGGGGCCGCAATCACCTTCAACAGCCCAATCTGTTATATTTTTCAAATTTAGCAATTTTAAGAGGTGTGGACTTCAACTCCCAAGAATTCTCAAGTCAGCAAGCCAGCTGGGGAACTCTGGGAGTTGAAGTCCACACATTTTGAAGTTGCCAAGTTCAGGAAACACTGTACTAGAAGATAGGAAGAAGCTTCTGGTAGTCCTGCTCTTCTGAGAGGTGAGAAGAGTTGAAGCGAGGAGAGGCTGATTTTTCAGGAACAACTTCAGTGCTTTAGAATACGGATAGTCTTTGACTTACAACAATTCGCTTAGTGACTGTTCAATGTTACAACGGTGCTCAGATATATAAACATGAGAAAGACAAAACAAACAGCCAAGGAACGGATGTGAACCAGTTTAATGAGTTCTTGAAAAACTGCAGAAAATCAGGGAGGTGATCTTGATGGAAATAGGCATGTTTCCTAAATAAAGGGGTTGAAATATTCCTTAAGGAAGATAGTATTTGGAGGCGACTCTTTCCTGATTTACTGGGGACTAAGCAGGAGGACAGCTTACAGATTCAGGCTTGCAAGAGACTGTTACTATGGATCAGAGATGGTATCCAGCAGGTTCTGACCAGTTCTGGAGAACCGGTAGCAGAAATTTTGAATAGTTCGGAAAACCAGCGAATACCGCCTCTGACTGGCCCCGCCCCCATCTCTTCTCTGCCTCCCATTGAGTCCCAGCTGATTGGCTGGGTCTCCTTTGGTTGCCCTGCACAGGAGAACGGAGCTGGAAAGCAGGTTAGTGGGGTGGGGAGGGAAGAGGGATTTTGCAATATATCCTTCCTCTGCCATGCCCACCAAGCCACAGAACTGGTAGTAAAACATTTCTGAATCCCACCTCTGCTACGGACTATTAAGAAAATATAGCTCTAGTGTTCCTGTGAAATCTGTTTCTTGATTTAGCTGACCTCAAAGGGCTGATCAGAAAAAAAAAATTAACCAAAGAAACTAATGATCGGGATTGAATTATCCTAATCATGGGGAGGACAGCGGAACTATGGAGGCAAACCCCAAAAGTGGCTTTTCAAAAGGCCACCGGAATTCGTTTTTCCTTGGAGATGCTTCACTTCTCATTAAATGAGAAGCGAAACCCCTTCAAGGAAAAAACAACAAGAAAATCCAGTTGATTTTTGAAAAAAAACCACCTTTGAGACAAGCTGAACACTGGCTGCTGGGTCCTTTAAACTGAAGATGCTAAAGAACGCACCCAGGACTTTTCACACCGTTTGGCTTGCAATTTTTTGCAAGGATATAAAACTGAATGCCAAGCATCTTTGGCCCAGGGTGGACTGAAGGTGTCCCTAATGATCCTCGGTCGTCTATCTCAGTGCTTCTCAAGCTCACCAGCTTTAAGAGGCAGAGAAGTATGCTTGCCGGGGCATTCTGGGAGTTGAAGTCCGCGCTTCTTAAAAAGTTGCTGAACTTGAGAAGCACTGATCTGTATACAAAAGGTCATCTCAAATCTGTTGACTTGCTGAAGTTCTTGGATCAACTGTTGATCCAGCCTTGTGACTGATTCTTGAGTTAATAATCAATCAACCAAAATAGAGCTGGAAGAAAAAGGTCTTCAAAGGAAACACGAAGTCCAGTTGCCTTTTGAAAAAGCATCTTTGGGACAGGCGTGACCTGGATGAAGGAGAATCTCCAAATAGATGGAAGATATTGAAACCTCACCGTGAAACTCATCTCCTAGCTTTTGTGAGAATTCAGCCAACATGACTTTGTCACTGGAAGGATCACTATGCAAGCAAGTTGGCAGTTTAGCAGAAATCTGGTTATTTTAGTATCTAGTATGCGCAGATGATTTAGCATCCAGATGATTTAGGGGACTGGAGGCTTAAAACATATAAAGAATGGTTGCTGGGATTGGAAATGTCTAGTCTGATGAAAAGAAGGACTAGGGGTGACATAATAGCAGTGCTTCAATATTTGTGGGGCTGCCATAAAGAAGAGGGAGTCAAGCTATCCCCCAAAGCACTTGAGAGCAATGGGTGGAAACTCATCAAGGAGAGAACCAAAGTAGAACTAAGGAGAAATTTCCTGGGAGTTAGAACAATTAACCAGTGGAACAACTTGCCTCCAGAAGTTGTGAATGCTTCAACACTGGAAGATTTTAAGAAGAGATTGAATAATCTCTAGTCTGAAGTGGTGTAGTTTCCTGCCTAGGCAGGGGGTTGGACTAGAAGACCTCCAAGGTTCCTTCCAACTCTGTTATTCTATTATAGTCATCATATGTTCGTACTATATGCAGCACAGTATATTTCAATCTAATTATCTCACTTACTTATCAAACTTAACCGCCATTTTGATGACATCTGTGTCTTCAGTGCGATCATCATTATTTGGGCTCTTCACTTGGAGCGAAACTTTTTTCTTCTCCAGTAAATCAGATGCTTCTTGGAAGAAGCTACCCATCTCGAAAACTTCACTAATTAAAAAAAAAAATCAAATTAATTCTAGAAAATGGTCTTGGATTTTGAAAATGAAATATATTTATACATGCACTTATGAACACAAACACACAAATATAAATTTAATACATATACAAACTACACAAGTGGTGCTCAAAAGAACTCCTCTTGATAATTTTGCATTAGGTTTTTATATTACTTTGAATAATATGAAATAAGAAGAGTAGGCTAAGATTAAATTCCATCAGTGATATGAAGATTAGAATTATTTTAATAAATAGAAGGTTTTCTTCCAGCAATGGCAGTGGGAGTGCATTAAAATAAGATGTAAACAAAAGTTTTTGTATTAAAAACTTTTAACAAATATTTTAACACATCTGCTGTTGGCTTTATCCAGGGACACTTTAATTAAAATGAAAAGCATGAAAACACCCCTACCAGATTTCCTGCAAGGACTGTGCAGCATGGAGCTTCTTTCCTTGTGCGTTTTCTAATTGCTCCCTTAACATCTGGCACAAGCAATACTTTGTGTTGGTATAATGATTATCGTATCTCACTGCCTAAGGAAAACAAAAGAGAAAAAAAAGTTTTAGAGCAAGAAATTCAAATAGTTCACATTTTGTCTCTTAGCCTTTCGTAAACAAATGCTTCCTTGTCGCGAAGAACCTAACCATATTCATTTCAGACCTTGTTTGGCAGAGCCTGGCCAGGCCTTCAAATCCAATTCTCGTTCATTTCAAGAAAGGCAGATTTCCAACTCTCTTTGAGTTGCGGGGAATTTTAAAATAGATGAGAAACCTGGTACTAAAAAACGTCACCTATTTCTCGTATCAGAGATCTACACTGAACAAACTGTGTATAACTTACAGATGGGGAACAATTACTCCATTAAAGGCAGACTTCCCTTCAATACAATACCTATGTCTTATTAGATTTATATCCCGCTTTTCCTTCAGGATCTCAAGGAGGTTTATTACACAGTGCTTCTTTTCCTTTTTTTCCCTACAGCAGGGCATCTCCAAACCTGACAACTTTTTAAGACTTGTGGACTTCAACTCCCAGAATTCCTCAGACCAACAGCAATAACCCTGTAAAATATAGGCTGAGGCTAAGAGGGCTGGCCAAAGACATCAAAGGAGTTTCCATGGCTGAGGGCAGATGAGAACCTCCCAAGCAGAGGTGGGATTCAGCAGGTTCTGACCAGTTCTGGAGAACCGGTAGCGGAAATTTTGAATAGTGCGGAGAACCAGCCAATACCGCCTCTGACTGGCCCCGTCAGCCCCATCTCTTCTCCGCCTCCCGAGCCCCAGCTGATTGGCTGGGTCTTCTTTGGTTGCCCTGCACAGGAGAACGGAGCTGGAAATCAGGTTAGTGGGGTAGAGAGGGAATGGGGACTTTGCAGTAACCTTCCCCTGCAATGCCCACCAAGCCACAACCACAGAACCAGGAGTAAACAATTTTTGAATCTTATCGCTGCTCCCAAGGGCCAGTCAACACCCTAATGCCTAAACCACAATAGCTGTCATATGGAAGTGTGACTTAACCGTTACTAATTTAACACCTGCAGTGATTCCACATTCACAACTGTGGCAAGAAAAGTTGTAGAATGAGCCAAAACTCGCACAAACAAATGTTTCAGTTAAAAACATATATTTGGGACTCGAATGTGGTCATTCACTACCTGCACACGATTGCACAACCTGCAGTTATGGAACCCAGAAAAATGGGAGTCCATGGTTTCATGTTAATACAAACACAGCCATGGGGATTCCACACCTCGGATTCAGGTGACCCCAAGGACACAGATAAAACCCCAAGTAACCACAACGGCTCTCAGAAAGTGTTAAGACCAGTTGACCGCACAAGAAAGCACAATCTTTCTAATAACACAATTAAAGTCCCCCATACACACACGAGACCGGTATCAAGAATGCATACGTATTTGATATATTCCTGCATGACGTCCTTCAGAGGTAAAAGTCCTTCCTTCCTGAAGACTGAGGGGTTCCACATGGCGGCCCGGGCCACCATCACAGAAGATGCCGAGGTTGCCTCCTGGAAGATCTGAAGGTCGGAATATTCTTTGATGAAATCGTGGGATCCTCCACTGAAATAAGGGGGATATGGGGTTTGTGTCAGAATATTCATGAACCGGAAGAGGCACGGTAATAAGGTCAGCCAATGAATAGGAAGAGCAACTAAGTCAGCCAATGAGGACTGTTTGGAAACTGAAACTGGAGGGAACCTAGGCGTGGCTCTCTATTAAGCTCTGAAGCTGCAGTCTTGTCTGCGACTGCTGAATTGAAACTGAAACTTCTCTGCTGTTCTCTCACCTGCTTGTGTTTTTTGCCTGTAACTCCCTACCACGTTGGAAGAATCTACTATTGGTATTGTACATTTTACTCTTATATGATTATGCATATAAAGAAGTTAAAGAATCCTGCTGAGTCAGCATCTGTCTGCGCTTTCTGGATTTGAATCTACGCTACAAAACCCAACAGTTTGCAGTACCAGCAGTGGTGCATGAACACGACGCAGATGGCAGGGTGGAGGTGATGTCTATGAAGATTCTCAGTCACCCAGGTCGTAGTTGTACCAAAAGTGGTTTTTATTTTGAAAAGGAAACTGGACTGATTTATTTTTATTTATTTTTTTGGAGGAAAAACAAGATTTTTTGCTTCCTATCCTGGAAGCTTCATCAGTTGTATGGAATACTGCGGGAGATGAAAGGAGAGTTATTGACAGTTGAGGTTAATTGGTGTGAGGGGGAATCATAGGTTCTGACAGCATGGGGATTCCACACCTCTGATTCAGGTGACCCCGAGGTCACAGATCAAACCCCAAGTAACCACCACGGCTCTCAGAGAGTGTTAAGACCACTTGACTGCAAAGAAAACACAATCTTTGCCTCCCACCCACCACAAACACACGTACCATCCTCTCAGAACGAATCATTCCTCCTCCCACCAACTAATTTCAACTGTCAATAACTTCCTTCCATCTCCCACAGCATCCCATACAACGGATGAAGATTCCAGGATAAGAAAAGTCTTGTTTTTCCCCAAACAAAACAACAAAAAAACAGTTGCCTTTTCAAAAACAAAACCACTTTTGTTAAATGTGCATTCTGTAAAAGAGCACAGCTGCTGAGAAGTGCTCCTCAACTTTTGAAAGGATGGGACACGCCTTCAACAGTGGACCCCAACCGCTTCAAAAGGTCAAGCTCTATACCGGCATTCAGCCCATCGGTCGTCTAAAGTGGCGTTTGCCAACTTTAAGTGTGATGGCTAAGGAATTCTGGAAGTTGAGATCTACACAGCTTAAAGCTGCCCAGATTGGGAAATGCACTGCTCTAAAAAATGTTAGCATTCATAGCCCAGTACAGGCAGTCTGTCATGCCCCTGTCGGAATCTGATTCAGAGGGGGAGGCTGAACAGCTGACAGGGAGTGGGAGTGTGGCTTTGTTGGCTGTGGAGGAAACTGGGCAAGGGCAAAGTTCGGGTGGGCAGAGCAGGGAAGAGGTAGAACAAGGGAGAGGGAATTCAGAGGAAGACCCAGGCCCACCCCCTCTTCATCCTAGGACATGCAGGGTGGAACGGAGAAGGGAGCAACGTGAGTTGCATGGCTTATGGGGGAGGAAAGGGCCCTGATTCCCTTCATCAGCTGCAGCTGGGGACACAGTGTTTAAAAAGGGAAGCTGTGCACCGCAAGTTGTTGAGACCAAATTGTGAATTTATCGGGTATCATCGTGGCTTATCTGTGTTCCTGGAGTCTTCCCAACTGTGTGAGTGTTGCCATGCTTTCAAGTCTGCAATTCCTTCTCATGCCCTGTCAAGTTAATTACTGCAGCTTTGTTTGTTTGGATTTTTAGTTACAGTCTGTAGGTACCTTGTTTTGGACTGAATTTTCTACAGTTAAAGGCTGTTCCTGGGAGAGTTTTTCTTCAGCCGAAGGTAACCTGGACATTGGGGGCAAAGTTGGAGATAATAAAGGGACTCTTCTTGCTTATTTGACTATGTTGCCTTTGTGCCATGCCCCTTTGGGTCATCACACAGTCCTTGACAACAATTCGTTTAGTGACTGTTCAAAGTTACGATACTGAAAAAATGGATTTATGACCATTTCACAGTGGCAAACTTTGCAGCATCCACATGGTCACGAGACCAAAATCCAGATGCTTGGCAACCGATTTGTATTTGCTACAGTTGCAGCATCCCGGAGTCACCTGATTCATTTAACAACCGTGTGACTAACTTAACAGCTGCAGCGATTCACTTAACAACAGTGGCTAGAAAAGTCATAAAATGGGGCAAAACTCATGTACCGAATGTCTCACTTAACAATAGAAAAGTTGGGGTCAATTGCGGTCATAAATGGAGGACTGCCTGTATAGCAGATGTCTGAACCTCTCTGCCAGAGGTCTCCAAACTTGGCAACTTTAAGACATGTGGACGTCAACTCCCAGGTTCCTGGCTGAGGAATTCTGGGAGTTGAAGTCCATGTCTTCAAGTTTCAAAATTTGAGGACCCTCCCACTCTCTGCTAACTGCAGGGGAGGCAACATTTATGGTCACAGTGGACTTTGTCAATCCATGCAGCTTGTTTGCCCCAAGATTGGACTCTCCTGCCTGAGACCAAATTCGTTCTACTTACTTGGCTATTACTGGGATGGAAACTGCCTCGGAGATGGCTTTGATCACGTTGCAGTGGACAGGGTGCTGAGGCCTCTCTTCTTTCTTCCTTCAAAGGAGACAGGTCAGAAATTAGCAATAGCACTTAGACTTATATACTGCGTCATATACTGCTTCCTGTCTAAGCAATTTAGAGTCAGCCTCTTGTCCCCCAACAATTGGGGTCCTTATTTTACCAACCTCAGAAGGATGGAAGGCTGAATCAACCTTGAGCTGGTCAGGATCGAACCCAACTGTGGGTACAGTTTGCCTGCAATACTGCGTCACCAAGGAAAGAAAGGAAGGAAGGAATGGAGGAAGGGAGGTGAAGGAAAGGGAGGGGGGAGGCGAGAGAAGGCGGGAGGGTAATAGTAATAGCACTTAGACTTATATACCGCTTCACAGTTCTTTACAACCCTCTCTAAGCTGCTTCCAGAGTCAGCATTATTGCCCCCAACAATCTGGGTCCTCATTTTAACAACCTCAGAAGGATGTAAGGCTGAGTCAACCTTGAGCCCGGTCAGGATCGAACCCCTGACAGTGGGCAGAGTTTGCCTGTAATACTGCATTCTAACCACTGTGGCACCACGGTGTTTTTTTTGGTTTTGTTTTTTGCAATAGAGCCTGTTCTACCAATTGCAGCTCAAAAGTTTTTATGTTATAGGACTCACAAGAATTTTTTTTTTCCTTTTCAGGTGGAGAATTAGTTTACCTTCCATGAACAGCAATTGCAGCAACTCCAGCCTGCTCTATCCTCTTCACCAGTCTTAGCGTTTTTTCTTCCTGAAAATGATGTTGTGGGGGAGGGGAAAAAACATTCAACGCTCGCCCAAGTTTGCGACTTCACTTTTCTGAAGCTAAATGTGGATGAAATGTCAAGCAATAAGTGTGCACATTCTTGTGGGGAGGCAAAAGGCTGTCATTGGCTTTGGGGTGTTGGCCATTCAGTGTCCCTCATGGGTTGAACTTGCCCAACTCATTACAATATGTGTCAGCTTCTTGGCAGCTGCATTAAACCCAAAACGATTCCTTTTTTTCCAAGTGCAAGTCCATAGTGAAATTTATTGGGATGAAATTTATTACAAGAATTACACCAAACAAATTTCCAGTTTTGAAATGGTATGTCCCTGTGTGTGTTATGGAGAGAATCAGAAAGCCCCCATCCTAACAGTCCGCCTATGATCTGGTGAGGAAGCAGGAAACAGCCTCTTGATGCTGTTTATTTAATAGCTGTCAAGGTGTAAGCAACTAGAACCATCAAGTAGTAATTTTATTATTTATTACCTATCTCACTAGAATCCCATCAGATTGTTTGCCTACCCTTGCAAATAGCTCAATAAGGCTTCATAGATTGGGGAGGTGGAGGGGGCAGTCATGGTTATGAGGTTTAGTGCTGTGCAACGATTCTAAGCTAGGTCCTTGTTTGACCCCTCCCTCCAGTCTAACTGGCAGTTTCTCAACATCTGCTTCCTGAATCTTTATCAGGGTGGAAACCTACCTATAAAATGTGGGTGGTAAGTTTGAATTCATTGTGCCTTTGGAACCCAGGTAATTGTGTCCTGCCACCTCCCCCCCACAAACAAACCCTGTTTAACAAATTGTGTAGGTTGAGAGTGATATGTTCAGGACAGAAATTTTCTTCTAAAATCATGCAATTCAATGCATGGAGTTCACAACAGCTAATTTCAGCATCTCCTGAACTCCAATAAAGGCTTCTGCACCAGTTGGGGCCACATCTTATCTGAGTTTTAAAAAGAACAATCCTAGGCATGTCTACTCAGCAATATTTGTCAATTCTCAATTTAATGGATCTTATTCACAGTTAAGGGTATATAAGCAGCAGTGAACTTTTTTTTGGATCTCTCAAAGGCCATGTCGTCTAGATGTTGGGACTATTTCTCACTTCAATGCTGTTGTAACTTTGAATGATCACTAAGTGAACTGTTGTAAGTTGAATAGTTGAAAGATCCGAAGTCAACATTAGGTGTGGCTACCGCTATCTCCCTTATTGGTTCATTTTCACTCAGTACAATTGCTGCTGACAAAGCAAAAACTGTATTTTTGCATCAAAACACTGGATTGGTGGGTATTTTTAAAAGTCCTGTGATATCTGAAATATGGTAATATATTCTTACCGATGACAAAATTCGGATTTTACAAGTTACTGGCTTAGATACACCATTGACGAGCGTAGTCAGAATCTAAAGAACAGGAAACAAGAGCAGACCAGAGATGCAGAATGATTGCTTGGAAAACTTAGGTGATTACTGAAAAAGATTATTTCCTCATTAGGAAAAGCCATCTCTCCATAAGTTCTCAACCAAATAATAAACAAGTTAAATGTCTCTATAAATGATTTCCTATTGCATTTTTCTCATGAACAAGGTCCACAATTCTGCCTCCAAGCTGCGCGTAAATCTTTCTAGATTCAGCCTAGTTCTCCAGACAAGTGGAAGCTTGAATACGTTCCCACAAGCCATTAAGTTTTACTGCCAAGCAAAAGGAAAAAAAAAATCAACAAAGCATCACTCTGCAAAGAAAAATACAAGGCTAAGAGTTTTCCAGGGAACGTTGCCTACTTCGTCAGATGCATCAAGAATTATTCTAAAAAAGAAACTTAGATGTGCTCTCGGGGTGCGGGAAAGCGGAATGGGACAACTTGCCAACTCACAGTTAACTCGCCACGGTCAACTTGCCGCAGAACAATGCAACATTTCTATTTAATTATTTAAAGTAGTTTAAAAATTATTTAAATCCTTGTCATTCACATTTCACTTTCACATCTTTCTTTAATGATTCTATTCCACTATTTCTTTGATATCAGTGTAACACTCGTCCTGTGGCTGTCAAGACTGAAAAATGCTGACACTTCCTGTGACTATTATTGCTTTTCAACTTGCCAACGAACTGGGGGAAAGGAAGGGTGAGATAGAACGTGGAGGCTATAGTCTTGAACCAAGAGAGCCATGGACACTTCTGCAGGTGTCCGCCAGGATGGGGACTGTTATCAAAACAAAAGGCTGATTGCCAGTTGGATCATGTGACCCGCTCCACGGGAGCAGGGCCTGAAACTCATCTTTAAGTATGCAGGGCTGCGCGGGAAAATTTAGAGTTGGTTTTGCTTTTCTTCAAGTTGCTGAAATGATATGCTCAATAAAGTTTTGCTTTGGGGATTTTAAAGTTCCTGAGGATGCCTGCTTTTATTTGGGTCCGTTAGTCGTACGGTTGACAGTGACGAATTGGACATGGCGAATTGTCTTGAGTTGAGTTGAGCACAGCAAGTTGGCTGTAGCAAATTGGCCGTGGCGAGCTGTTCTGGAACAAGCTGGCATAGATCCAAGGTGGAGGTAGGAGAGAGAAGGGAAATGAAGAAAAGGGAGGGGGGAGGAAGAGACAAAAAACTAGCAAAAAAAATATCAGTTAGTTGTGACCACATGTACCTTGTGCAGCCCCCTTCGGTTCCTCCAAACTCCACTGCTTTTAATTTTATAAATAAATAACCACAGAAAATGATAAGCAGGGCACTCTGCATACTCACAGATTCTATTCTGTTCAGATCAGACAAAAGCGCGGCTCCCATTCCTCCCTGGGGAAAATATACACAAAAAAAGATCTTCGTTCATCATCTTGGCGGCCCAAAATAATTCAAGGAGGTTCTACAGGTAGTCCTTGACTTACAACCATTCATTAGGATTCAGTACAAAGTATGAACTTAGGGTCCAACTGCGTCTTCACGGGAGTGAATACAAACAGCCCAAAGTTGTCTTGCATACTTTTTACATTTGTCTATTAACTTTATTTTCTTTGTCTGGTGGATGTCAACTTATAAAACATCACACAACCCGCACTCCTGTCCTACTTACTGAGTCTATCATCTGCACCTCTATAACTGACTGATTTGGTTCTGCAACCCAACAGGACAGACACAGACTTCGGAGGATAATTAGGACTGCACAAAAAACAGTTACTACCAACCTGCCTTCCATGGAGGACTTGTATACTGCAGGAGTCAAAAAGAGGGCTGTGAAAATATTTACAGACTCCTCACATCCCGGACATATAACTGTTTCAACTCCTTCCCTCAAAATGACGCTATAGAGTTTTGAACACCAGAACAACTAGAGACAAGGACAGTTTTTTCCTGAACGCCATCACTCTGCTAAACAAATAATTCCCTCAACACTGTTCAACTATTAGAAAGTCTGCACTACTATTACTGTTAATCTTCTCATCACTCATCCCCTCCCACTTGTGACTGTATGACAGTAACCTTGTTACTTGTATCCTTACTATTTATATGGACTGTTTCCTAGTATGATTTGATTGCTTATTGTGCCCTATGACTATTATTAAGTGTTGTATCTTATGATTCTTGACTCTTTACGAATGTATCTTTTCTTTTATGTACACTGAGAACATTTGCACCAAGACAAATTCCTTGTGTGTCCAATCACACTTGGCCAATAAAAGAATTCTATTCTATTCTATTCTATTCTATTCTATTCTATTCTATTCTATTCTACTCTACTCTACTCTACTCTACTCTACTCTACTCTACTCCATTCCATTCCATTCCACTTAGACACTGAACATGCTACCAGATCATGTGTTAATTTGAAAATACAAGGGAATGAATGGAAGTAGTACAAGAGATTTCTATGGAGATTCTCAGTCATCCAAGTCATGGTTATCCCAAAGGTGTTTTTTCAAGAGGCAACTGGACTTCATTTTTCTTTGAAGACGTTTTGCTTCTTATCCAAGAATGAGAACCAAAATGTTTTCAAAAAAAAACTAGGTAGTGTAAAGAAATGTTTCGTAACTTCTCAATAACTCAGAAGCGAATCAGGAAGTCAACGGGACAGCAGACACATTTTTTTCTGGAGTAAGCTAGAAATTCACATCTTTAGTATGCAAAAAAGGAAGCTCAGTCTGAATGCAGCTGATCAAAAGAAGGAAGTGGTCTGCAATGTTAAATCAGCCAAATGTAACAGGATGGCTTCAACCAACCTTGGTCTAATGTTAGGTTCAAGCAAGAAATATTGAAGTCACTTCCTTAATATGACGCAATTGAAACACAGAAACTTGCATTGGGATTCTGGCTTCCTGAGAGAAAAACAAGCAGACAAACGTATTCGTATGTCATTCTAAAAGGAAAAAAAAACCAAATTGTTTTTGGACACAAGGTTTCTGTTAATATACTCAGCTACTATGTCACAACATGCAATTCTTTCAGTTAAGCAAATTGAATTTGCAGTCTGCAAATTCCTGGAGCTCATTTCAAAGGCTTGAAAGAAAAAGGTGTTTCATGCGTTTAGAGTCTTTGATTAAATGAATAAGAAAGACAACATAATTCAAATAATGATTCAAGCTATGCAGACATTCATAAAATTGGAGGCATCTATAAATATGATTCAAAAAGAAAAAAAACTGCAGATGGCAAAAATCATACCTTTGTGGAATACTCTTTGGGGCATCCCATGTTCACATCAATGCCAGCAACATCATTCTCTCTGAAATGACAAGGCAAAAAGACAATATAAGGAGATTTTAACATTTAGACACACACAAATATTATTAAGCAATCCATTTTCAGAGCAAGTTACAAATGGCTGAAACAATGAGATGCAGAGCAATTGTTTATTCTATTGAGGATTTGCTTCAGTGTGTTTATTTTTGCAGTGTTTTAGTTTACATGGTTGCTTATCTCAAGTTCATTGTCAGAAGGATGAAAGATGTTCTTTGTCCAAACCAAATGTAGCTCATGTACTATCAGTTTCAAATGATCCTGTTACTGATTTTATAAGAATCACAACAAGCCATACCCAAGTTGCATCTTCACCATAGAGAATAAAAACTCTGTTTGAAATTACTGTGATTGCGCATTTTTCACTTCTGTGCATTTTTTTAAAAAAGTTCAGGAAAATAATTTTCAGATTTACTATAAAATTTAATTTGCTTTTATTGAAGAGTGACAAGCAATTTCTAAACTGTTCTGCTCTCTAATTAAGAAAGTAATACTTTGCATAAGTAAACAGCTTTAGGCTATCACCAGTCCTAGTCAACCATAATTTCCTTGCTTAAAGAATACATTTGTGGGTCTTATTGGTTAGATCAATGCTATCTTTTCATCCAACAGCAACTCAAGGAAGACAATATAAGTACTTCCCATCTTAGCCACCCAATAATTTTGTGAGGTTTGTTATGATAAACAGCATAATGGACCCATAATGGACTTGGATCTCTCTAGCCCTAATCCATTGCTCTAAATCAGGGACCTCAAACCTTGGCAACTTCAAGACTTATGGCTGGCTGGGGAATTCTGGGAGTTGAAGTCCACAAGTCTTAAAGATGTCAAGGCTGGACACCCCTGCTACTAAATACTGTGCCAAACTAAAACTGTCACTTTTTATTCCTGAGATCTGCAAAATGTAAAAGAAATAAACCTTATGCAAATGGAAATGTGTGGAGTGGATCTGTAAACTTGGGTAGATCGGTTAAAAGTTAATGCCAAGTAAAATCGATCACATTTTATGTTTCTTTTCTTCGTATTAGATCACATTTTATGTTTCTTTTCTTCGTTTATTGTCATTTTTGTGGCTTTAGAGGGAGGAAGGAGCTGAGGTAGTTTTGTTAGCATTGGTATAATTGACTTTAACCTCCCTGGGGATGTTTTCACTTTTGTTTATATATAAGCTGATGAGAATTGTTTGAATGGAACATAAAAGAAGTACAATAAATATATTCTGACAGATACATACACAAGTTTGGCTACCGCCAAGGCTCTCTCAGCATCAGCTGTGCCCTGAACAACAGCGAGAAAAGAAAACCATACAGGATTATTTTTCTAGAAAGATTATTCTAGCTCATTCTTCAGTTCAAGAGCTCCCCAAAGGGCTCACATATACATTAAAAATATACAGGCAGTCCTCATATAAAAACCCTAAATAGGGACTGGCAACTCTGTCATTAAGCAAAGCAGTCAGTCATTAAATGGGAAATCATGTGACCACAACTGCACTTTATGGCTGGAAAGAGACAAGACAAGTTCAGGACCATATGTGAAGTTGTATTAAAGATGATTTATTGCTCAAGGTCATACATAAGAATTTTAATCAAATAAAGTTAAATACTAAACCAGCACCAGATAAGGGTTAACAGAATTCAGGAGCGGTTGGACTTAAACCATTTGTGGGAACATAATAATTATAGACTGATGACACACTTAACTCCCCTCTCCAGCTCTGCCCGCTCTTCTCAAACCACTACTTAATTTCACAACTTCAGCTTTGGTTGGCCAACTTCCCTGCCCTTTGAACGACTCACATGACTGCCTCTTGTCTTGTACACATTGAAAGCAATGCAATTATGCCACACCCCACGGCTTGGAGCCACAGGAATGTTATGCAAATAGCTTACTCTCTTGAAATCCTTTCCTCGCGATCTGAAGGGTGGGGGAAAGGGAAACAATAGATTGCCTATAGAAATAGCTTTCTTTCTTTCTCTCCTCACATGACCAACCCGATTTTATGATCTTATTTTTGTGGCAGTTGTTTTACTTTCAGCAGTTGGTTTTGCTTTTGTAAATCACACAGAGTCATACCATTTGAAAGACAACCCGGTCCTTTTCTCTTTCACATGTCCTGAACACCACTCTTTCATTGGGGGCCACAAAGTCCACAGTTCCAAGGATGTCTGTGAGGCACAGAAGAGAAAAAAGTCTCTATTAAGGACTTCATTAACAGATTGTTGAATAATTATTAACACACCCATATTCCCATTCAAGATTTCACTTCTTAGATCATCACTGATTACAGCCAGATATTAAAACGTATCGATGCTGAAAGTTGTTTATAATTTTATTAAATTTTCTGGATAAACACTTTTACAGAAGCTCTGAATACTTCTAAAGCAAGGATCCTTTACATAAGCGTCAAAAACAATACATTTAATAATGTACCAACCAATTATTACCATTTTCACTACTCTTAATTTCAGTTTCACCAAGACACTTTAATTTCTTTAACAAGCACTTTATCTAAAGAGAACAAGCAGCATTAATCATTGTCTTAAGCTACCAGTCAGGAAAAACAGAACTTTTTCATTTTATTTTTCACTCAAATATCAAATAAATACTTGCCATTTACAACTCTTTTGCACTGAAGCATCTTTATGTCAATCAGCTCCTTAAAGAACAAGGCAAAGATTACGAAAAAATTTCATCCCAACAGAAAAACAAAACAAAAACCATTTTTAAAAAGTAATTCCTTTTTTCCCTTTAGTATAGAGAAAAGGGAAAATATATCCAGGCTGGTTTTTTAGCAACAACATCTAAATGACTGTTTTCTGAGATATTTCAGGACTAGTTTTCAGCTCTGGAAATTCCCCAGTGCCGTCTCTTCCCATTTAGTATTGGTTGATGCTGCCATTTGCTGAGACAGAACTAATTATATAAACACTGAAGAGACTTTTACAGAGTCCAAAACCACTTCAAATATGGTGTCTAGCAATCTACTTGTGAACTCTGTTCAGAGTATTTCCCTCTATGAATTACTACATAGTGTTTGGCATACATAATTACTACATAATGGTTAGTATACATTATGTATACTGCACAGGTCAGAAAGAGGGCTGAGAAAATATATACAGACCCCTCACACCCTGGACATAAACTATTTCAACTTGTCCCCTCAAGATGCCGCTATAGGGTATTTCATACCAAAACAACTAGACACAAATACATCCTCTGCTGAACATCCAGTTGCCACAGTACTGTCTTATATCTAAGCACATTTATGCAGGTAGCACGCCTATATTACTATTATCCTCTCATCTTTTCTTCTACTTTCTCCTATTGGTATCCTATGATTATATTACTTTGTATATATACAGCGAGTTTATACACTGGAGATAATTTCCATTTTTGTCCAATCACACATGGTCCATAAAGCCATCTATTCGATTCCTATTCTATTATCTCCTGACAACAATGTGAAGGAGATGGAACCATCCATGTCCCCTAGTGTTGTGGCGGAGCTGGCGGTAGACTTGGACAGTGAGGAGGTTGGGAAGGAACATGGGCCAGTCCTGGAGTCCGTCCCCCTCTGATAAGTGCTCTGCGTTGGAGGCAGAGATGGAGCCAGGGCCTTCTGACAGTTAGCAGCTGCCTTTGGAGTTGGAGATCAGTGGGGCAGAAGAACAGCTGGAGCCTGTTCCCAGTGTGTGCATGCGCAGAGCTGCCAGAAGGGAAGAATTAAGGAACAAGGGTCTACTCAGGAGTAAGGGCACAGGTGGACGGTGAATGGCCCCTCCCAGAGGGAATAAAGAGGAGTGAAAGGGGAGTGGTGTTTGCAGGAGACAATTAGTTCAATTCATTAGGGTGAAGATCTGTTCCTGACTCCTCGCCAAGTAATTGCTGCTACAGTGTGGCGTTTGGAAGCTATCGGCCCAGCAACTGGAGAGGAATTCTCTTTAACCTAAATAAAAGGGGTTTTATCGGGACGAGGAGTCGGTTTCATGTGTTTGGGAAGCCTAGGTCAGAACACCTACCTCACAATATACAATATCAGCACCATAATCCAAAGCCAGGAGTCTCATCGGCAGGGTCCCAACTCGCACCATAGGAGCAAGTATTGCTTTATTTGTGAAACTGAGGGCTACGCAGTTGATTGGCATGGTGTCTTTGGAATCAGCTGAAAGAAAGGAAACTGGGGGGTGGGGATATGTTCAAAAATTAAAGAGTCCCACTGAATTGAAGTAGCATAAAAACTGTCCAATTAAATTCTTTGCATAAATGAGGAAAACCCTCTACTGCAATTATAACAACAATCACAATCAGATACAGCACCCAACCTTAGCTTAATTCATTTGTTGCTATATAGAAAAGAACTTCCTCTAACCAAGTTAAGATTTGATTACATATTTTTTAAATTTTATTTTTATTACCAACATATCTTCTTCCATTTGACAACATGTCATCTGGTTACAAATACTTTGGGCAATACAGTTAATATTTACAATCATATTCATTACGTATTATTCTCTAGTCTTATTTTGTTATACTTATTGTACTTAATATCACTATGTCTTTATCCTTCAACTTAGCTTATTTATTTCTATTGAGGAAAAATACCTATTGTCCTTAACTAATCCATTAATTCTATCTAGCTTTCATATTTTTTCCCTAGCCATTGATAGAATAGTTCCCATATCTTATAATATTCTGTTTGCTCTCTCTCTCTCTAATTACAAGTGTTAATCTGTTCATTTCTGCACATTCTAATATTTTCCTAATCACATTATTAAGATTTGATTCTGATAAAATAGCTGGATCCATACAAGTAGTTGACTCACATTCATTTAATGACTGTTTTAAGTTACAATGGCACTGAAAAAAGTGACTTATCAACTGCTTTTCACACAACTGTGCAGCATCCCCAGGGTCACGTGATCAAAATTCCGATACTTGGCAACCATGGTGTTTTTATGACAGTTGCACTGTCCCACAGTCATGTGATCTCCTTTTGCAACCAGTCATTGGGGAAACCGGGTTGACTTAACGACCCTGTTACTAAACTTAACAACTGCAGTGATTCACTTAACAACTGTGGCAAGAAAGATCATACAATGGGGGCAAAAGTCACTTAACTGTCTTGTTGTGCAATAGAAATTTTGGGCTGAATTGTGGCCATAAGTTGAGGATTACCTGTACGTAGAAACCGAGCTGCAAATTTCAACCGGATTGGGAGTTACATACAAACCCACTATCCTATGTAATACTTCTGGATTCTGCCTTGTCAATCTGGGCAGTGAGATATAAGACAACCGTTGTTTTTTGTTTTAAAAAGACCTCCCAATGAAACTGCAATGAAATTTATAAAACATGTTTCCAATATTTATCACTGCCTAGGTCGCTTCATCTGTCTTGATCATGCACTCTATTTTCTCCCCTATATCTTCTCAACAAGCTCATTTAAGAACAACAGAATAAGGGGATTGGAAGGGACCTTGGGAGGTCTTCTAGTCCAACCCCTTGTTCAGGAAGGAGACCCTATATCATTCCCTGAATTTACTATATTTTTATGCCATATATATATATATATATAAAAACTCAAAATAACTAGCCTATTTTTTCTACTAAAATCATAATAGAGCTGGAAGGGACCTTGGGAGGTCTTCTAGTCCAGCCCCCTGCTCAGGCAGGAGACTGTCAGGCTATAGAACTTTTCCCATTCAATCAACAAGAATGAACTTCTGAAAACCAAACATATCGAAAGGAATCCTTTATTGAGATGAGACAATTCATGCAGGGATTAAAAGCATCATCTAACCTGCCTCAGGCATGCAGGGATCTCTTGATGTGTATTTAGTAAAACAAAGAGCCAACATGTTTATCCCACCCCGCTTCTTGGAAGGATCTTTTTTGAGGTTCCCAGGAGACATCTCCCAGCAGGAATTTTTATGGTCTCTTCATCCTGTGGTTGTCTCTTTCAAAGGTGACTGGGTTCTGGGCATCTGGTCTCTGTCCTTCCATAGTATGTCGTGGGTTATCCAAATTCAATATAAGATTTAATATATCCAGGTTACATCAAAAAGGATTTGTACCAACTCCCCATCTACTTCTACCATGAAGAATGGCAGATACACAGATCTGACAGAGACCCTATACCAGGGCTAGGGAAACTTGGCTCTTTTATCACTTATGGACTTCAACTCCCAGAATTCCTGAGTGAACCATAAAAGGTTCCCCATCCCTGGCCTACTGGTTTTTCAGTTGCGGGGGAAATCAATGTTTGACTTGAATGGGACTGTTTAATATACAAATGTAGGACATATAAAAAATATGTCCTACATTTATATATTAAAATATGTCTTACATTTGTATTGAGGAAAGGGAAAAAGAAGCCTTGCCCTTTAAGGAATAGGCAAAGTTCTTTCCTTTTGTGGATTCAAATTTCCTGGCTGGGAGAAATGCAAAATGATTTGGTCAGCTGCGTTGAAAGTAAGAATGTTTATTAATAGGAAGGCAGGTAAGAAATCTCACAGCGTTCCTAGGATTGATCTAATAAGTGAGTAGGAAAACCTATCTCTTATACACTTCAGGTTCTTTGATTTGTAAATGAAGTCTTTGATTTGTGTGTGTTGAATTCCTGTCTGAGATTGGGATCTCTTCCTGGGATCTTGGTAGGAGTAATTGTTTTATAGTCCAATCTGTTTTTCCCTGATCCTTTGTAGCTATCAGTTTGCACCTGGTTGCAATATCCTGAGTTTCCTGTTAGGCTGTTTGCTTTTCACAAGTTTTTTGTAGCTTGCCATCTATTTGATTTCTATGGGAAAGGATCCTAGCTAGTTTGTAGGGTTTTTTTTCTCTCTCTGTATCTCATGCCTGTCATTTTCTCCTTCCTTTGTTGTGAAAAGTAACCTGGCTCCAGCTATTTTAATAGCCCTACTTGAGAAAGGGTGGGGGGCTGTTTTCCTAGAAGAGAGGGGAATCATAACTTCCAACAGTATATTAAACAGTCCCCATTCAAGTCAAAAAAATTATTTCCCCCACAGCTGAAAAACCAGTAGGCCAGAGATGGGGAACCTTTTATGGAATTCTGGGAGTTGAACTCCATAAGTGATAGAAGAGCCAAGTTTCCCTACCCCTGCCCTATATCATTCCCTGAATTTACTATATTTTCATGCCATCTTTTTATATATAACGCAAAAAAACGGGACCAATTTAACACTCCCACCTCCTGTTTTTCCCTACTAGAATTAGAATCAGAATCGAGCTGGAAGGGACCTTAGAGGTCTTCTAGTCCAGCCCCCTGCTCAAACAGGAGATCCCCATAGTACCATCTCAGACAACCACCCTGTGAAATAGGCTGGGCCGGAAGCGTTGCAGGGGGTTCTGCTGGGCTCGGCCTGCCTCCGGGGGCACCTCCAGGCCTTCCTTCCGCCATGGGACGGTTCAGAAGCGGCACCCAGCTCAACTCACCAGACGCCGGTTCCCATCACTCGGGACTGTCCGCTCCCGCGCATGCGCCAGGCGACGAGATATGACGTCACGGCCTTGCCCTCCTCCTCCTCCTCCTCCCCCCCCACCATTCGAAACAGAGATAGGAAAGGGTAGAGATGCCCACGTGTAAACAAACGCCAATGTGTGTTTTTTTCTCGAATTAACATTGTACAATTAAACGTTCAGTGGATCTCACATCAATAAAATTAAGCTTCCTCGCAGGTCTCGCTGTTGTAACGGTCATCTTTTCAAATATTCAGGGTTTTTAGCCGATTTGATAAAATCCGGTTAGCTGGAAAGAAATTGTTTGGTATGCCGATAAACCATCAGATCATATTTTGGCAGACCAGCTCTGACACACCGCAATTTTATTTAAAATAGTATGTATAAGCCATGCGTGACTAATAGCTCTCAGAGGATCTCTATGTTTACTCTAAATGTCAAGTGATTTTCTTATGAAAACAACCGTCAAAGTTATTAAAAAAACCCCATCATAAAAATTATGAAAACAATCCTAATGCCTCAAAGTGAAATATTATACTTCCATAGAGAGGCTCCTCTACATGTTATAGTCTATGGTTTTTAAGCGCCTCGCCTCTGAGAGGCAAAAGGAGGCGAGGGCGCTACTGACGTCATCGAGGGGGGCCGCCTTCACCGCGAGGCCTAAAAACCGCGCCCGTTTTATACGTCATCCATTGGCGACGGTCGCGTTCCTCCCCTTTTACCGCTCCATCATGGCGCTCCTCCTCTCGCTTTGGGGGATTCGTGGCCCCGCGACGGCCGCCCGGTTCCCCTCTTGGCGGCCGCCGGCCGTGCGCGGCTGGCCGGTGCGCCGAGCCTCCGGAGCGTCCCCGCCCGACGAGCACGTGGTGCGGATCCCCCACGCTTGGAAGTTGAGGCTGGAGCGGCCGGCGTCCAAGCGGGAGCGATGCAGGAACCCCGAGACGGAGAGCGGCGCTTCCTTCGGGGAAAAGCTGCTGCTGCGGAGCCGGAGACGAGAGCTGAGCCAGGCGGCCCGGCATACGACGGGCCGCCTGGAGAGGCCGCGCTTGGTGTCGGACGGCTGGAAGCACCGCTTGTCCCGCGGGGATTATTTCCAGCTGGAGCGGACGCGGAAGGAGCCTACCCGGGAGACGAGCGATGGGGACGCCCCGTCCACCTTCCTCGAGCTGGGGCTGGAGCCTCGCGTGGCGGCCTCCTTGCAGGACGTGCTGGGCATCTCGCGGCCCACGCCGGTGCAACTGCGCACCATCCCGGCCCTGCTGAAGGGGGGCCACGCGCTGTGCGGGGCGGAAACTGGCAGCGGCAAAACCCTGGCCTACCTGCTGCCTCTCTTCCAGCGGCTCTTGCAGGCCCCGACGTTCCCTGGGGACAACGTTTCCGGGACCTCTCCGCGCTCTTTGGTGGTGGTGCCCTCCCGAGAACTGGCAGGGCAGGTGCGCAGAGTGGCCGCCCTCTTGGCTGACCCTTTGGACTTGCAGGTGAAGGAGATCGGCGGTGGCCGGGGCACGGCTGTGATTCGGCGGCGGATCCATGAGGGTCCCAGTGACCTCCTGATCGCCACGCCAGGCGCCCTGAGCAAAGTCCTGAAGAGGAAGATGTTGTCCTTGGAGAAATTGCTCTTCTTGGTGTTGGATGAAGTGGACACTCTCCTGGATGCCTCATTCATAGATCTGGTGAAGGATATAGTTCAGCATGCTTTTTTGAAGGATGTCGTTCAGCAAACTTTCCTGGACCCAAAGTTTGAAGACAGGGATGAGGCTTGGGATCCCAAAGCCCAGCTGGTAGCGATGGGCGCTACTCTTCCAAAAGGGTTAAGTCAGATGTTGAGTGAATCTGCCGATCTCTCCAATTTCACCGTATTGACTGGCTCCAGTTTGCATTGTCTTCAGCCTCACGTGGAGCAAAGATTCATACGTTTGAAAGGGGGTGAAAAAGTAGCAGAGCTGCTACAACTCCTCAAAGAGCGAGGATCCTCTTCTGGAGCTGTTATTATTTTCTGCAACAAAGCCAGGACTGTTAACTGGCTGGGTTACATTTTAGAAGACCATAACATCAATCATTTACGCCTGCAGGGAGAAATAGCAGCAGATACACGAGCAGGCATATTTAAGGCCTTTCAGAGAGGCGAATCTGACATTTTGTTGTGTACTGATATAGCTTCCCGTGGATTGGACACCATTCATGTAGAGCTTGTAATTAATTATGACTTCCCTTTAACATTGCCAGATTATCTGCATCGGGTGGGGCGAGTCGGTCGGATCGGCAGTAAATTCCTTGGGACTGCGGTCAGTTTTGTAACCCATAAGTGGGATGTAGATCTTGTTCGGAAAATAGAAACGGCAGCTCGCAAAAGAAGTCCACTCCCAGGGCTAGATATAGTTGTGAAGGAGTCTTTGCATCCAAAGAAGAAATTCTGAATTTGCCTGGAGGACCAACAGTTAATCTAATATTTGAAACAATTCCTAATATATTTCAGACATTTTGTGTATTTGATTTTCGACCACTCAATCTTCTATATATATAAAAGGGAAATACCCCTCACACATCATCACAAAATCTCCAGAACCATAAAGCCTATTAACTTGAAATTTGGCAGGTATGTTCCTCTTGACTTCTAGATGCTCACCAAGAAAGGATTTTTCGAAATGACCATCAGAGCATTAGTTTTTCCTATATTATTATTAACATGCTCTGATTCTAAGAAGTTCTACTCCCCCTCCCCACCTGAAAAGAAATCTCTTCCAAATGCAAAACACAAGCAGAGGAGAGGAGTTTCAGTTTCACAGCACCAAGCAGCTTTAGTACAGAACAGTTGAGTTAAGCCATGCCCAGACTCCTTGCTGTCTCCTCTTTGCTCACACAGCAAATACTGTTTCAGTTTCTCACACACTGACAGTACGCTAGCCAGATGAATACTGATGGATGCTGGTAGGCAGAGGCACAGTTCTCCCCCCCCCCCCCCCCTCTCCTCCTCCAAAACTAAGCCCGACCACATAGTTTCGGAGCAAAGCACGGGTATCGAGCTAGTTCCTTAACAAAACTGTGCTGACATGGAACTGTCAGAAACTGCATCCTATAAAAACATGGAGCATTCTGTATTCACCAGATTTATTCAACATATTAACATGCTTTGTCCAAATTGACTTTCATATATTATTCTACAAATGGTAAAATCCAGTAATTCAGGTACAAAATGATCTGGTCTTCAAACATGCCAAACCTTCTCCAGGCTCTGCCCTTCCAGGTGCAATTTGATAGTTTCCTGGAAATATATTGCACATACCAGAAGCAGTTCTATGCATACTGGTTATTATATTCTGAATTCGGAAAATTGTATATAGCTAGTCCTCGACTTAACAACAGTTCATTTAGTGATCATTCAAAGTTACAACAGCGCTGAAGAAAGTTACTTACAACTATTTTTCACACTTAGGACCATTGAGGCAATCCCATGGTTACGTGATCAAAATTCAGATGCTTGGACAACTGATTCATATTTATGACAGTTGCAGAGTCCTGGGGTCACGTGGTCGCTTTTTGAAACATTTTGCCATGCAAAGTCAATGGGGAAACCCAATTCACTTAATAATTGTGTTACTAACTTAACAACTTCAGTGATTCACTTAACTGGCAAGAAAGGTCATAAAGTGGGGTAAAACTAACAAATGTCTCAGCAACAGAAATTTTGGACTCAAATTGCGGTCATAAGTTGAGGACTACCTGTATATCATTAATTTTGTTTGTAAACCCATTGGACTATTATAGCCCGATGAATTATATACTCATTGCCTATATGGGCAGGTTTCTGGTTGGAGATTTCTACAGACCTCTCGGCCTGACCACATTTTGTGATTAGGTTTGTGATCCCAATCTGGTTTAATTCCTGTGGTTCAGCAAGCTGGTGCAGTAAGTGTAAGGGAGGCGTATGTCCCACCGTTTTGTGGTATTTGAGTTTTTTCAACCCAAAAGCAGGCATCTTCCCAAGTTCCTATAACCACTGTTTGTGTCTTTATCATGCCTGCTATAAATCCCTCTATTGACTCGTAGGCTATTGGGGTTTTTTTTAAGCATCAGATCTACTTTTGCTGTTGAATCTCACCAGGTGGTTTGATCTGTAGCAGTTTTGTTTTCAGTGCCAGAACACAAATGTTAAATAAATGAAGTGCCTCTTGCCTAGAGAGCCTTGAGGAGGTGCTGTGAACATTTGCAGTCATCCAACTTACCTTGAAGAGTTACAGAGGCAGACACGGCAGCACCATGAGTAGTGATATCCAAGGTCTTTTAAGTGCGCGTTGTTCTGAGCCAGGCTTCGTCAAACTTAATGAAACACAAACTTACTGTAAAAGGAAAACCTATTTTAATGCAATGCTGGGAATTACTTTCATTCCCAGCCAGAACGAATTAAAAACAGTTCCCCCAGTTAAGAGCACGCCTTTCAGTGCTGTAGAATGCTGCCAAAAAAACAAGTCAAATTAATTATAACAGAAAACAACCAAAGTCCCAGAAAAACAACAACCAGAGTTCACGCAGAGCTTCAAGGAGGACTCGGAATCTATCGAACTACTTTGCTTCCTGCAAAGTGTTCATCATTGAGGTCTGACTTTATCCCTTATGGGAGGGGCAATCACCTCCCAGTCTTACTCCTGTCGCCCCTTTTGTTTCAGCTCCTCTTGCCTTCTAGCAGCTCTGCACACACACTGGGAACAGGCTCCCCTGGGTCTTCTGCTTCGCTGCTGCCAGGCTCCGAAGGCAGCACCCCACTCCCAGATGGTCCTGGCCCCATCCCTGCATCAAATGCAGGACTCTCGTCCGAGTCCTCTCCAGACTCCCAGACTGGTCCCCTTCCTCATTGTCCAACTCCACTGCTGGCAAACCACAACACTTAGAACATGTTCAAAGAAAGCCCAGGAGCTGCTAGAGGAGAATCATCATCTCTTTAACCATAGTTTGGCTGCATGTGATCTACATCAAAGCACCTATTTCCAACCAGAATGGATAACTTGCCATGGCCAACTTGCTGCAGGACAATTTAATGATTCAATGTAATAATTCAAAATAGATTATTCACATTTCATCCTGTCCTTCCTTTTGCATCCTTCCTGTAATTATTCTGTTCCCACCATTTCTTTGATATTAGTGTAA